ACCAGTTTGTGAGCGAGTAATATTCTTCAATTTGATGACTACAAATACTTCAAGACTTCAAAAATACTTAGTCATGTTAATGTTTATTTCAATTAAAAAGAAATATGAAATATTTGAACTGAACCATTGCTTTACATTTAGATTAAGAAGTATTCTATTTTTCAACTGCAATGGCGTTCTCTTAGGATATAGAATACGTTCCCTTTGTAATTGGGACTTTCTTCTATATACATACACCCTTTCTAATATAGGTGTCTTAATTAAAATACATGTACATTAATGCTGGGTACAAGATCAAGAAATCATTCTAGTAGTCCAACTAAACATAAAAAGAGCATCTAGAAAAAGTTTTTCTGTCATTTCATTGAAAATGCATGCAGGGTCTGTAATTTTCCGGTAAATACTGGGAAATACTCATATATGCGTACCAATGATATTGTAAAATGGGTTATAAGCAATTATTGCGCTGATGGCTCTATCTCTCATCTCACTAAATTCCATATTTCAACAAGACTTAAACATGTTTCTTACTTGTTACTTTTGAATAACTTCAAATATTTCTTGTTTGGACATTTTATTCAAATTTTAAGGACATGAATTCAAGACATATTCCTATATTTCTTAGAACTTAAATCGCTTGTTTGGACATTTTATTCAAATTTAAAATACATGAATTAGATACATGTTCTCCTGTTAGCTGCCTATGAGCTCTCAATCTCATCGCAGTACATACATGGGTGAAAACCATATCACTCTGAATAGGTTTGTTTGTTTATGTTATGAAAAACAATAAACAACAATATGATGTGTGGTGAATTAAGAACCAATGGCATAACGGACCTAGACTAAGATCGATTTTGGGTTGGACTTAATTATGACAGGCCATCCATGCCACTGGTTGCTCCCACTATTTGTCTCTAAGTTATTATCTTTAGATATTGTCCTTCATTCATGAACTATCAACAAATGTAAATTCTGTTAGATGTATGACCACGATTTATACGTCCGTTCAGAGACCAATGCCAGTGAATAGTAAGAGCAAACAGTGGCATGAACAGCTTGCCATAGTTAAGTCCAACTTAAAGTCGATCTTATTCTTTGTGAAACACCCCCAGGTTGGTTAACAGCCCAACGGTCCACCAATGAGGTATTGGAGCCACATGTGATTCTGTACGCAGCTGCCATTGCAAGGGATTTCGTCTTTATAGACGATAATAGGGACTTTTAGATTTGCACGTCGACAGCTTTGACTGCAACGTGTGACGTCATTTTAAGGAACTGCGCATGCGTCACGTCGTCTCAGTCGGCGATCGAGAATGCACCAACCTTGATTTTCCTAAATCTAGTACGGTACTAGTTTGCCGCGTCCGCGCGCGTGCACGCTTACTTCCTGCATGCATGTATATCGTCGAGTGAAATATAAAAGATCTCTAATAAGCGAGTTCGTAAATAGCTCTGGAACGCATGACCCAAAATATCCCCTGATCTTAGACACGATGGATACTTCCCACCTGTGCATTTTAGAATAATCACTGCCAAAGTGATGGAGGTGCTTCATAAATACCTTTTGTTTGCCTCTTGAGAAGAATACTTCCAGCTGTGTATCAGATAAATGTACTGTTGGTGCATAAATGAATACTGATTACATAACTTTCGTGAGCACTATCCGAGTATTCGTCTCAATGGTTTTACAATTTGGGTACGAATGACCTTTATCTGCCCATGCGCAAATCCTAATTACGAAGTCGCTTATTGTAGTCAACATGGGCAGTTGAGTACGTTGACACGAATGATCAGTCGGCGTTCGTCGTGTTCTCGCCCACTCAATCTAAAATTCCCTAATGCTAGACCACATCGTGCCTAAATCACCAACCAATAAGCTTTTTCGTAAATACTATCTGCGCATGGGCAGATAAAGGTTATTTCAGATAAAATTGTAAAACCCACTGACAGGAATATGTGCTCATGTTATGTAGTAAATATTAATGTGTGCACCTACGGTACATTCTTATGATACAAGAGGGCAAACAAGAGCTTTTCATGAAGCACATACATGACTTTGGCGTTGAGTATTCTTAAATACACAAAGTGGGACTTCTCCATTAGTAAAAGATCTGTGGATATTGGAGGTCATTTGACCCATGTGCTAACTATGAAATGGTCTATACTTGGAAGATAACGGGCTCGAGCTCATGGAGTAGCAACCAAGAAACCCCTGCATGTAATAACATCGAACAGCTTGGGACGACATCAAGCGAACAGTCCAGAATAGAGTCAAAAAGGATATTCTTTTAGGAAATTATAATGGCTAAATATGTACTTGCGTGTTTACATAACGAAGCTTTGATTGGATTGAAAGGAGGCCGTCGTTTGACTAATGTCAAGTGTGAGAGATGGTCTAACGGTCGTTAGCATCCTGTGACCAGTGCAAATTTAACAACTAGAAATGTATCACGGTGGACTTATGCTTAACATTATGTACCTTGTACTTGGTCTGTCATCCTCCGGGGGTTCAGTCATCTCTTCAGTTTCTTTAGAAAGTTTCTTTCCCATCGTGAAGGTATCCAGGCTAAGAAGAAATGTCAACATACACATAGAGAAACATAAATGATAAATAATCACAAACATGAGGTCAACCATATGGCGGTTCAAGATTTGCCTGCATAGGGCACCAGTCCTGAAAATTGACCGGTTCACTAACACAAATTAGATATTATAGACGTTTTGTTTCCTGGGGACCTAGTGATGAGTTATTCCATTAACGTATTATTAATGACGAACTACAGTACTTAGAATAAACTTTGCTTGGATTATGTGTTGCTTTGTCGGGCCAGCCTCGGGCAAGCGTTTAGGTTGTCAAGCACAGCCTTTGCGAACAAAGTATGCATACTATTTGAATCAACATGTTATCGTTGATTCCATGAAAATGAGAAAGGACGCAACCGTGTTTTGAACAAAACGCGTATCAAGATCAGAAATGATAGATGCTGGTCTAACTCAGTCATTAGCATTCTGTGAACAGTGCAGATTTAACAAGTAGAAATGTATCCCGGTGGACTAATGCTTAACATATCTGTACCTTGTACTTGGTCTGTCATCTTTAGGGGGTCCAGTCAGCTCTTCAGTTTCTTTGGAAATATTCTTTCCCATCGTGAAGGTATCCAGGCTGAGGAGAAATAAAGATAAATAAATGATAAATAATCACAAACATGGGGTCCACCATATGGCGGTTCAAGATTTGCCTGAGGGGCGCCAGTCCTACAAATTGACCGGTTCACTAACAAAAATGAAAATTTTCTTTCCTGGGGGCCCTAGTGATGAGTTATTCCATTAACCTGTTATTTATGACTGAACTACAGTACTTAGAATCAATTCTGCTTAACTTATGTGTTGTTATGTCGGAACAGTCTCGTGCAAGCTTTCCCTAGAATTTTCTTTCTTTACATAGTATGCATAAAATATGAATATATTACAGAACCGGTCTATTCTTAAAGAATTTCATTTTTAGGGACTTGTTAACTCTCACTGCGCCTGTCTTTTAAATATATGAAACAAACAGTTGAGGTCCTTTTAAGCACACATTGCTTCACCAAGAAAAACGTAAATGGCGGTTAATTTGTATCAATGTTAAAGATAAGTTGAGTTCTGGTCATGCCATTGTATTGTGTAATCGACCCGCAAAGTTTTTTCATCCAGCATATAAGTATTGGTGTGTACTGCGAGGTTCAGGAATCATCAAAATGATAAGAAAGTTTGCCCAGTCTTGGCAAAGATACAAACACTGTTCTCAAAAAGATGTATATGAGACTACACGAACATGTGGCATTACAATATGATGTTACATGCCATATTTAGACTATTAAGGCATTTGAAGAGCAATGCTTTTCAGGGAACATTTTTTATATGATGTTCATCCACACTTGAATAATACAATGACAACGCTCACATATTATTTTTCAACTCTTCCCAGAACTCAACCTTCTCTTTAAGAGCATTTGTCAAGTATTTTAGATAGTTTTGAGAAAATTGCAAATTATGTGCAAGATCTCGGACAATGGGAAACGAATGAGGAATAATTTTTTTTGGGGGGGTATGAGAGGTCCCGGGTTCCAATCCCGAAAAGGCCTCCATAATTATGGCGATTTGGATTTCATGATTTAAGTGATTATTTATCACAGGCTTTGAACACTCACAAACGAAAAAGATATTAAAATATATACATATATATATATATGTAACATAATTATAAACCTGCACATGCGGTCCATACTTTAATTCTGCATGTAATTCCTTATATATTTTGCCTTTCATGTCCGTACCTCTCCTATCTTACATTTGTATATCAATCATGTATTGCATCTTTTGCGCAAGTTCCGCCTTGAGCATTTGATTGTCAAGTGGATTTGGCGTCTTACAAATCTTATGTTTTTTTTAATTATTGTTATTACACTGGGACGACACATTTTACCAAGGATATTTATGCGCATGTATTAGAATTAGATGCGCTTTTTCATGGAAAAGAAAAGAATGTCCAGTCACATAAAATGTTACTTTAGACAAAAGGTGATTAAAGTTCGCAGTCTAGTCTTCTAAAGTCAAGTGCAAGGGGGGAGAAAAGAAAAGGAAATTGAAATTATATAGACAAATCTGTAAAGGTATTATCAGATTTTGCTCAAACTCAGCAGGCTAATAACGCCCATTCTGCCCTTTATCCTATCAAGGAATCAGTGCATATGCTTAGTCTATAGGTTTATCGTGATTGGATATCAACATGAACAAGGGTGGTAAGTAAAAACAACTACACAAATCTCAAAATCAGAAAAAAAAGGTACTGCCTAAATCCCACTTTTAAATAGTTTTGTACTTTGAAATTTTGAAATCACATAGAAAACATTATACTTTTCTTGGATATTATATGTGATAAATGATCATGCTCATTCATTAGCATTCTGTGACCAGTGCAATTTGAACAATTATATATGTGTAACGGTGGACTTATGCTAAACATATCTGTACCTTGAACTTGGTCTGTCATCCTTCGGGGGTTCAGTGATCTGTTTAGTCTTTTTAGAAAGTGTCTTTCCCATCGTAAAGGTGTCCAGGCTGAGGAGAAATAGAGATACATAAATGATACATAGTCACAAACATGGAGACAGCCATATGGCGGTTCAATATTTTCCTGAGGCACAATTCCTAAAAATTGCTTGGTTAACTAACAAAAATTAAATGTAATACATGGAGATGTTTCTTTTCTGGGGACCTAGTGATGAGTTATTCCATTAACGTGTTATTACTGAATGAACTACAGTACTGAATCAAGTCTGCTTGAATTATGTGTTGCTTTGTCAGGCCAGCCTCGGGCAAGCTTTTAGGTTGTCAAGAACAACATTTGTGTAAAAAATGCATACAATTTAAATATGTTAATAAACCGGTCTATTCTTGACGAATTTCATTTTCTAGAGACTTGTTAACTCTCACTGTGCCTGTCACGTAAATATATGTGTCAAACAGTCGAGGTCATTTCAAACACACATTGCTTCATCAATGAAAACGTATATGGCGGTCAATTTATATCACTGTTTAGAGTATGAGTCAAGTATTCTAGATATTTTTGAGAAAGTTGCTAATCATGTTCAAGATCTTGGAAAATGGAAAACGAATGCAGAATGATTCTTGTTTTGGGTATGAGAGGTCCCGCGTTCCAATCCCGGATAGGCCTCCATACTTATGTCGATAGGGGTTTAATGATTTAAGTGATCATTTATTACTGACTTCGAACACTCAAGAACGAAATTAAAAACTACATACATCAAGTTATGTTTTACATATACATATATAATATATATCTAAATACAATTATATACCTGCATTTATGTGCCATGATCTCCGTTGTGTGCATGCGTACGCAATTAGTATAATCATCATAAAGAAGTAAATTCTTCACACGGTTATATGCAACTATAGACATTCCTTGAGAGAATTTCACATTTTGTACATGATTTTTTCCAATTGTAGCATTTAACAATGGTCAGCAATAATGAACATAAACGTAAAGGAAAATTACAGAAGTAATTCATCCATATTTTAAAAATAATTTTCATTCGTATAACCAGGGACAAGATCATGTCCCAGGTATAACTAACTCTTGGTATCAAAAGGAAACGTTATCACGTTCCTATATTACGTTGGCACACAACATTGCTTGTGTTTGGGTAAATTCCTGAAACAAGCGAAAGCCCTTGGCACCGTAGGAGTTGAACGAACTTTAGAACGAAAACAAATTAACAACCTCTTTCAATGTTCTTTATTTGTAAGGCTAAATTCTACATGACCGACAATGTCGGTGCTGTGTGCCATGCGCCAACTTTCTTGAGGGTTTGCTAGATTGACATTTTCCTGCAATTCCTTATGTTTTTTGTGTTTTTGTTTTGGTCTTGTGCACTGTCAGTCTATATACTGGGATGACACATTTTACGAAGGATATTTATGCGCATGTATCAGAATTGAATGTGCTCTTTCATATATATGTGTATAGATATTAAACACCTTACATGCACTCTCCTCGGTCGCCTCGTGAGAAATAAAGATGACAAAGATTATGCTAACTATTAATTTGAAAACTCACCAATAAAACACTGGGAACGAACTAACAAACACACACACTCGCACATGCACACACTCGCACACACGCACCGATACAAAGTCTTCTGCTGAAATGCTCAATACAGTAGGTGAATAAAACATCTTATAATATTGCTTAGCTTTGGGTAGTAAAGGATTGAAATATTCATTATAAAAGGAATTACAAAATGTTGGTAGTACTAGGAAAAACACTTAGAAGGAAATCATTCGTTACGCTGGTCACGCACACCAGGTCTATATACAACAAAACAAACCTAGTGAGCATTGGTGATATCGCGTTCAAACACTGTTAATAGCGGAAACGATTCTAAAGAGCACAATTTCAATGGAAACCACGGAAATGTGAAATCCAGGCATATCCAAATTTGGTCATATTTCTCCGTTCTGCTTTGATGCTAACATGGAAGGTTAAAGGTTATACAAAGCCTTGGTATGGGGTCATGAATTTGGTTCAAATGTACATATCAGAAGTATATTCGATCCTACTATATTCAGTAATCGTTGTCGTGGTTGAATTTGAGTCTAAAGTTATGAAATGTTAAATATTAAACTCTTTATGCTGTATACCTCCCTCTCAAGGTCAAGATATTAACTAAGCCATAAAACTATGTTTCTTGATTAAAATCGAACGATGGCTATTCCCGTTTGAAAATGATATATCACTACTACATATTCTGAGATTTTCATATTTGCAGCGACAATTGTATGGCCATAAGCGCTAGTTGAAACTTTTATATTTAATTTTACTCAAAAGCAGGAGTGTTTTCGGGGCTAAATATGTTAGTGCTTACAGTACATCCACAGGGGCATCCAAATATATCAAAATTGTAAAGAATCACTATCCAGCCATTTTTCAAAATTTCCCAAAACTTTGTATTACCTTTAAAGGAAAAGTATACAAGAATAATCCGATATTCCTTTAGAGCTGAAAGTGATTCTAGTAACTAGTTTTCTGTTAATGAAACTTTTAATGAAAAGAAGAAGATGATATTCACGCTCCTCTATCCCAATGTAGAAAATTACAGATTATGATAATGTATTTCTTGATATAAAGAAGGGTCTGTTTACCATAGTCTAAACACTACAACATAATACCGAACCACATGCAAATCGATGGAGTGGCATATTCAAGCTGATTTCTCTATACAAAGAACAGTAGTAAAGCAATGCACTATTATGATGCTTAAACTATGTAGGAAATATAAGAACTGTGTTCATTTGGGAATTATAAAGTCATAACATGGTCGCTAAAGAAAGGCCAATGCTCAATATCTGAAATACTTAAACTCACTGCACACCGATAATGTCAATGGCAAATTTTATTCATCCCATAGAAATCATATTCACGTCCAGAAATACTTCATTGCTATGTTTGCACATTTTAAAAGTTAATGGACAAGGATATGAAATATGCCTTCGGTTGATTTTTCATAGTCAATTTTGATCTGTATTTTGTTTCGTTATGTATAATAATATTTGGCTATTGTCGTAATTGTATTATGTAGTACAGTACTCTATTGTAAAGCATTTTAATGGGATGTAGAGAATATCTTGTTTATGGAACACAGAATAAACTAACGAATGAACGAAAAAATGTATGCTTTTCTATATCTCTAGCAACAGTATTCAACCCCAATATTCAATATAACTTTTCCGACCTTTACTTGACCTGTAGTACCTAACACTATGAATATGACTGACAAAGAAAGCGGACAAAATATACAGTTCCTCAGGTAGACAAAGGAACATCTCTTCACTGCTATTATGTAGCAATGTGTAGAACAGGTGTCACATGCATATTCACCTGTTCTACACATTTGTACATAATAGCAGTGAAGGGATGTTCCTTTGTCTACCTGACGAACTGTATATTTTGTCCGCTTTCTTTGTCCGTCGCGTTCATAGTGTAAACTTGTCGCTATAATACAAATTATTTCATTCACTTGATAAGAATAATAGTATTTCAATAGACAGAATTCGAACTGCCTACATTAATTGTTGCCAGGTAGGACAAACATTATGGCTTGACCTACCTAGCAACACTTAATATATGCAGTTTGCATTCTGATTATTGAAATACAATTATTGTTATCAGGTGAATAAAATAACTTCACAAAGACTTATGCTCAAATTTGGTTACATTACGAAAATGGCCTATTGCAAATGAACATTAAAAGTCAATTCAACGCCCCTCAGAAGCTGGTAATACAGGTATCACGCATCATCATGGAAAATGGGCTTAAAAGAATATGCAAAATATGCGAATTCCTTATTAAACGTCGCCCAAAAGTTCGAGCTAATCTCTAACGACATGATATCTCAAATCGCCATCAACTTCATCATCATCATCAACAACAACAAATCTTCAAGCGAAGACCTTTTCAAGGTCCATGAAATTTAAACAAACAAACACATACATACACTTGCACAGCCACACGCACCGATACAAAGTAGGTTAATGAAACATCTTATAATGCTGCTTAGCTTTGGGTAGTAAAGGGATTGAAATATTCGTATGACGAAATTTCGATTGTACTAGAAAAGACACTTTGAAGGAAATCATTCGTTAACCCGGTCACGCACACCAGGTCTTTATACAACAAAACAAACCTAGTGAGCATTGGTGATATCAAGAAATTTTAAAGGGCCTATGACATCCAAATACAAGTGTATTCCTGTTGGTGTACAGTCCTGCATACATCTCATATTTTGATGTTTTAACATTCTGAATTTGTTTCATAGATTTGTAAATATTTTGTTTGTATTTGTTTTTCAAACTTGCTAAGCTCCACCCTAAAAACCTCCAGATCTCATTCCCCTTGTGACATCATCTGTCAGTCATCAATGAGCTAACTAGAAACAGTGGCATGTAACTTTGCCAAAGTTGACCACCTGTTACAATACCACAAACAATAGCAACATATAAGTTGATATGTCAGACATGTCAGACTAAACTAATATTCTAGAATAGACAATGGTATGTAATTTCCCCCAGCTTAGCACATGTTCATAATATAATTGGATGCTTCAATACATATGTAAAATACATCATCATTGCCTTTGTCTTCCTGGTGATGCTATAGCATGTCTGACATAGCAAGTTATATTTCGAATTGCTAATTTCTAATTTCTAAATAAATTGCAGGTTTTAAGACTGTGAATTTTCCACTCCTCGCACTCAATAAGGGGCACTCACCATCAGAGATGAAAAGGGGCACTTAATTGAAAAAGACAAATCTCAAAAACAAATTATGCAAAAGCAGTGAGTAATTGCGTCCCGCAGGACACAACAAAAAATACCAGGTTGGTTTGCGCATGGACCTATTACGGATGGAAATTCAACGTGATACTTTCTATGATCCAATGATAGTCACTGCCTTCTGATTATGTGCATCTTAATGAGAACATTCAGCTGTTTTAACAATAACGACTGAGTAAGCATTTTCGCTCATTGACAAAGG